GTTTGAAAAGAAATTACACGAAATAATATTGGTTTTGGAATATTTTTTACYTGTATAYTTAATATCAATTTTAAGATAATTTACAAAAGATATATAATTAAATTTATCTTAACTCATCAGCTTAAATTTTTAGATTCATTGGTGATTTAACATGGGTACGAGAGCATGAGGTATTGTGTGATTAAATTTGCCCTCACATGAGTTTAAGCTTTTGGATTTATTAGTGATTTAACACAAATTGAGATATTGTAAAATTTAATTGGAGTTGATTTTATATGTAAATATAATATATAAATATATTTAATTGTATAGAGTTGTTTATTTGTGAATGGACATTAATATCCACGTAGAAATGATGGGTAACCCAAGTGATGTGTTGAGAGGACATCAAAAATTCCTTAGATATCTTCTATACATCTTAGGATATTAAGATATTTTGAAATATTCGAGTATTCTACTTTTCTATAAAACAAACCTGAGAATTTAGATGTTCATTTCAATAGAATAAAAAAATTTATAAAATATTACAACTAAATAATAAATATTTTTTTATTACAATAAAAATGATTTTGATGAAAATGACGTATTCTCCATCTTAAATATAAATACATTCCATCAAGCAAATTTATTAGCAAGAAAGTTTTTTTTTTTTTTTGATAAATTATTAGCAAGAAAGTGAATGAAAGTTAAATGAACATTTTGAATTATTAGGTTAAATTATATTCTGTTCTCCTGCTTGAATCTTAATTTAAAATTTAGTCTTTTATCCAATAATTTTTTTATTAGAGAAATATATAAACTATTTATGTTTGGTTAAAATAATTGTTTATAGATTTGTTTCAATTCGAAAAAGTGAGTGGATATTTAACATTAAAAAAGTTAATTTATAGAAAATAATATATTTCATGTTAAATTAAAAATTTAGTCTAATTTTGATATGTGTATTTAATAGGTTCCTAAATTTTCAATTTGATATCTAATAGATCCATGAACTTTAAAACTGTTAAAGTCTCTGAACTTTAAAATTTTGTGTCTAATATATTCTTAACTCATTTGATATTATTTTAAATTAACAATCTACTAGACATAAAATTGATTGTGTATATTATGCAATCCTATATTTTTAATTTTATGTCTAATAGGTTCGTGGATGTTAAGAAAATGTCGAATAGGTCAGTAACTATTAAACAAAATTGAAAGTTCATGATCAATGACTATTATTAAACATAATTTTGAAAGTTAAGGAACAATCTATTAGACACAATCTTATAAGTTTAAAGACTTATTAATGTTTTTTAAAGTTCAGTAATTTATTAGAAAAAATTGAAACTGCATAAATTTATTAGACACCTTCTAAAGTTTAGAGACTTATTCGTTAAAAACTTAGGCCTGTTTGATAACCATTTTGTTTTTGGTTTTTGGTTTTTCGTTTTTCAAAAAGAGGGTTGTTTGATAATCAATTCAATTTTCAGTTTTTGACAAAAACCATTTTGAAATTCTATGTAAATTTCAAAAACAAAAAAGAGTAGTTTTTAAAAATAGGTGTTTTTTTTCAAAATCTGATTTTTTTCTTCTAATACTCAACTTTTTTTTTTCTTTCTCATATTTGTCTTTAAAAAATTTATTTCTCATTCTAAAATTTTTTATTTTTAAATTTCTCTCTACAAACTTTATTTTTCTCCTCTAAAATTTTCATACTTTGAATATTTATTATTATTTGTCTCTCTCCAAATTTGTCTCTATTTTGTTTTTTTCCTAACAGACCAGTTTCATTTCTCTTTTTAAAAATTTAATATTTTTTATAACTTTTTTCTCTCTAAAATTTCATCTTTTATAATTTTTCTCTCTTTGTATTTTTTTCTCTTAAAATTATATTTTATTTTCTGGTTCAATTTTCTTTCACTGTAACTTTTATTTATCTTTGAATTTATTTATTTTCTCTAAAAATTATATTTTGGATCGTGTTATTATCTCTAAATTTATTTCCACTATATTTTTCTCTTTCTTTATAATTTTTTTTTCTCTTTAACATATCTTTTCCTCTCGACTTTATTTTTTTTTCTCTACAWTTTTTCTCTTTTTGTCTTTAACGTTTCTTTCACGGTTTTTTTTCTAAATCTTTTTATTCATCTCTCTAAAATTTATCTTCAAAAAGTTTATTTACATCTCTCTAAACTTGTATTTTCATGGGGAGACAAAAATTTCCCAAAAATAGGAAATGCATGTCCCGACCCGTCCCCATCTCCAATTCCATTTTTTAAATAATTAATATATATTTATTACACTTTTTTTATACTTAAATTCTAAAAATACTTAAAAACAATTATAAAACCGATAATTTTTCTTGAGAACATCTCTCGAACCCAAGAAGTTCGAGATGAAGACGGAGACTAAAAATTTTCATAAGTACGAGAATGAGGGAGAGCATCCTCATTCGCACCCACACCATTGCTATCTCTACTCTACAGAAAACTTTCTCTCTCTAATATGTATTTTCAATTTTCTAACTTTTTAAAAACAAAAAATTAAAAATGGTTACCAGACATGTTTTGGTTTTCTGTTTTTTAAAAACAAAAAACAAAAAATGGTTATCAAACATATATGGTTTTTGTTTTTTAAAAACAGAAAACCAAAAACCAAAAACTAAAACCAAGAAAAACCAAAATTAAAATGGTTATCAAATCCGCCCTTACAAATTCATGGACTTAAATAATAATTTAATCTATATATTTTAAACCAGGAAGCATCAATTTGTTCTTTTTTAATGGAATTTGTAGGTATTACAAAATGATATATTTACTCTAGAGTTTCAAAATAATTTATGGGTGTACAGTTAATTATTGACTCTAATATCATAAATTTTGCATCTACGTTAAATTAATTAGTAAATTAATAACAATAAATAACAATTTAAGTAGAAGATTGATTAAATAAGTATCCATAACCATTTCTGTTTTTGTTTTTCTTCTTTTTAGTTTTTGGTTTTTAGTTTTCTGTTTTTAAAAAACAAAAGCATAATCATTTTTTGTTTTTAAAAAACGGTAAACCAAACATGTTTGGTAACCATTTTTAGTTTTTTGTTTTTTAAAAGTTAGAAAATTGAAAATACATATTAGAGAGAGAAAATTCTATGTAGGGTAAAGATGACAGTGAGGACTTCCTCATTCTCGTACTCAGTGAAAATTTTTAATCCCCGTCTCCACCTCGTTCTTAGATCTGAGAGATGTTCTCTAGAAAAATTATCAGTTTTATAATTGTTGTTAATTATTTTTAGAATTTTAAAAAATAAAAAGTGTAATAAATATATATTAATTATTTAAAAAAAGGAATTGGGGACGAGGTCAGGACATGCATTTCCTATTTTTGGGGCTCGACCTTTGCGGAAATTTTTGTCATCCGTAATATAGAGACATGAAAATACAAGAGAGTTAAATAAACTGTTGGAAGATAAATTTTAGATTGACAAATAAAAAGATTTAGAAAAAAAATGAGTGAAATAAAAGTTAGACAAAAAGAGAAAAATTTTAGACAAAAAAAAAGTAATTCGAGAGGAAAAAATATGTTAAAGAAAAAAAATAAAAACAAAGACAAAAATTATAGTGGAAAAAAATTTAGAGATAAAAACAAGATCCAAAATATAATTTTTAGAGAAAATAAATAAATACAAAGATAAATAAAAGTTACAATGAACGAGAAAAGAAGATGTAATTTTTAGAGGAAAAAATAGATTAACCAAAGTAAGACGAAATTTTAGAGAGAAAAACGTTCGAAAGATATTAAATTCTTAGAGAGAGAAATGAAACAGACCTGTTAGAAAAAATAATAAAAAATAAAAAAAATGAAAAACTTGGAGAGAGAGACAAATAATAATAAATATTCAAAATATGAAAATTTAGAGAGAGAAAAATAAATATGATAGCGAAATTTAGAAAGAAATTTTTTAGAGCAAGACAGAAATATTTTAGAGATAAATATAAGAAATAAAAAAGAGAGTTCGAGTATTAGAAAAAAAAAATCAAATTTTGAAAAACATAACCTATTTTTTAAAACTATTTTTTTTTTAATTTACATCAATTCTTAAAATGGTTTTTGAAAAACAGAAAACAAAAAATTGAATTGATTATCAAACGACCCTATTTTTAAAAAACTAAAAATGAAATGGTTATCAACGRGTCCTAACTTACCAGTCTAACTCAAGTAGAATTTAATAGATAAGATATCTTATTATCATCTTAAAATTATTGATTATATTGATTGGATCTCGATCCGACCATGGGTGGTACCGCTCAGATTTTGGCCAATCTTCCTAACTGCACATTCTCTCTCTTGAGCCTTCCTTTTATAATCTGAGTCTCTCCCAGATTTAATAATTTCACCTTAAAATTCATATTATTAGTATTTTGTTAATATTAATTATATTTTGTTAATTWTTTATGATATAAAATGGAAAATTTTAATTTTCCTTCTATGTTAATATAGAATCTACCCATATATGGAAATATTGATAGAAAGATCCATATAGAGACAAAACTTTAACATACTGTTTGTTTCCTTCCCTATGCTATTACTCTCATTTATTACACAATCATGTGTAAGTAACAATTAAGAATAATATATCAGCTTACCGAAAAAAAATTGATTCCTAATAATATTTAAGAATTATTTATCAAGACAATTTTTTTGTTTGGATAGGGAGAGGAGATACTACGAGAGCACTGCCAATCTAAACCTAACTCAAATCCCCGTTCAAAAGTTTGTGGATACGAATATCCATCTCATACAAAAAAATAAATAAATTAATAAGAAATAAAAAATCCCACTAGTGCACCTAAATTTTCCTCTCTCCCTCCTAATAATTACCTTGAATTTAATTTCTCTTTCTCCCTCGCCCCCCTATGCCCTAGAATCTCTCTAAAAAGAAGTGGGTAGTTATCATTTACTACTATGAAATTTGTAAAGAAACCTCTCCATTTACTACTTTATATTCACACAAAATTAACATCAACTTTGTGCTTGTTCTTGTTCTTCTTTAGCAACAATTTTTGCATCATTAAATCTTGGTTGCCATGACTAATCTCAAAAAGGAAAAGACCGACCATAAGGTGACCTTTGTCGATAACGAAATCCCTATCATTTCACTTGTTGGAATCGACGATGAAGTCAATGGCAGAAGAGGTGATATTAAGAAGAAGATCGCTGAGGCTTGCGAGGTATGGGGGATTTTCCAAGTTGTAGACCATGGGGTTGACGCTAAACTTGTGTCTGATATGATTCATCTTGCCAAAGATTTTTTTGACATGTCATCACAAGAGAAGCTCCGCTTCGACATGTCGAGTGGTAAGAGAGGTGGTTTTCTAGCCACCACCCACCTAAAGGTAATATAATATAACAACTCTTACGTATAAGTATAAGGGGTTGTTTGGTAATATTTATGTTTTTTATATATGTTTTCTGTTTCTTATTTCCTATGCTCTTACAAAACGTATAAGGGGTTGTTCGGTAATACTTATGTTTATCGTATTTTATTTTTTTTTTCTTATTTATAAGTTTTGAGAAAGACTATTTTTTCTTTCTAAGTTCTTGTTTATGAGAGCCATTACCAAAGTTCTATACAAATTTTGGAAACATTAAAGAAATTTTTATATTTGTCACTTTTTAAAACTTAATTATATAATGCATATTAATTATTAAATATTAAATATATAACAATAATTCTAATATATATATAATTTTTTTAAAAGAATTATTTTTCATTTAAATATTTAAAATAACAATAATTCTAATATATATATATATTTTTTTAAAAGAATTATTTTTCATTTAAATCTTTAAAATTTTTTAAATATCACAAATAATAAATGGTTACCAATGCTGGGTAATATTTCTATTTTTTGTATTTTTTTATATGTTTTTCATCTTTGTTGATTTTATTTCTCGTTTTCAAGGAAGAAAAACAATACCATGTTGAGTAATTATTTTTGTAATCTCTTTTCTCCTCTTCATCGAAAAAAGTAGGAATATGCTAGCTAATGCTAATCATTTGTAGATTTTAAATTAAGAAAAAAAAAAACTTCAAAATTTTACAAGTTATTTTGTTTTCTTTATTTTTTCGTTGAGCTCATTTCTGTAAGGGTTCCATTGTTTAATGATGGTAAGTAGGAGATACCTACCTCATGAGCACTTATTTTTTATCCTCATATTGCAGGAAGAAGCAAAACGATATTCGCGAGAAATTGTAACATTCTTTACGTACCCAATTGAAAATCGAGACTACTCGTTGTGGCCAGATAAGCCCGAAGGGTGGGCGGCCACGACCGCAGAGTACGGCGAGAAAATGATGGATTTGGCCTGTAAGTTGCTAGAGGTGCTATCAGAGGCCATGAGAATGGAGAAGGAAGCGATAAAGAAAGCCTGTTTGGAAATGTACAAGAAGATTTTGGTCAACTTTTACCCTAAATGTGGAGACTCCAATGATGTTGTTGTGGGGCTACAGCGCCGCAGTGACCCTGGAACCATAACCATATTGTTACAGGATCATGTGTGTGGGCTGCAGGCTACCAAAGACGGTGGCAAGTCGTGGGTCGACGTCGCACCCTTGAAAGGAGCCTTTGTCGTCAACATTGGAGACCATGGTCATGTAAGCAAGCTTCTCTGTTACGATTTCAAATTTTATTTTGGTTGGTATACTATTAGCTTTTCGCATTAGGTATATGATTTCTGTTAAGATTTTGTAGAAAAAATGGGTTATAAAGGTCACTTTTTTCAAGGTACGTGAAGTATAATGATTGATTTGAAAGTATAGTAAAATGGATAGAAACTAAAGATATAGGAACCGAAATAAACATTTTGAAAATATGGTCTTAGATAGAAAAAGCTGAAGGTTTAAGGAAGATTTAGACCTAATAATAACCCTATTCAGAAAAGAAAAAAGAGTTGAGTTCTTTAATTTTGAACAAATAATTCGAATAAACCCACCCAACCTAAATATTCCATGCTTGGATCGGGTTCAATCTACCATGTAACTAGAGTCATTTAAGTTAATTTATCATTCAAATAATTGAGTCCAAAAAGCCCTTTTTATTATTTAAGTTTGACATTGCAATTTTTTTTTGCTTTGAAAGTTTTATGCTAATTTATTTCCAACCTCAGAGACTAAAAATGTATTTTACCCTAAATTATAAGTTAAATTATAGATTTGGTCCTCAATTTTTAATATAGTGTTCACTTAGTCCTTTTATATACTTTGAAAAGTTTTAACCATCATGGGTGGCTTATTAGTCGAAAGGGGCTAGGGTAATTAAGAGGGAATGAGTTCAAATCCCATAATGGCCACCTACCTTAGGAATTASTAATTCCTATGTATTTCTCAGCACCAAATGTTGTAGGGCAGTGCCCCGTGAGATAGTCTCTACATGGTACACACTAACTAACTGTATTATTTAGGGCATGTTTGGTAATGTTCATGTTTCTTGTTTCTTTTTCCTCGTTTTTAATAAAGAAAGATAGAATTGCATGGTCTCAATACTCACGAATTAAAGAATGATCAAACAATATTTATATTGATATTTTGTAATAAAATTGGAAACAGTAACAAAAAACTTCTTTTCTTATTTCCAAAATTTCTATACAAATTTTGAGAATGTTTTAAAAAATATGAGAAACAAGAATATAATTAGTTGTAAAATGCTTAGGATTCTTAATAAAATTGGAAATAAGAAATAAGAAACGAGAACATTGCCAAACAAGTCCTTAATGATTAGGTAGCAAGTTTATTTTTGGGCAAGTTTAGTCGGTTAGTGGCGTAAGAATTAAACTAACAAAGTTCATGAACAAGGACTTGTACAAGACCCAAATTTGAAAAATTCATGAATTTATTGGAATCTTTTTAAAGTACAGGGACTAAATAAATAGAATACGATCTTTACAATGGTAAAATATAAGAACTAAATAAACAGTATGACTTATAATTTAACTTGAATATTAAAGCAAACTATTGAGTTGATGGTAATTAGAATGATTCGTGAAAATAGTATCTTAGCAATGGGAGGTTCAAGAATGGTGATCATCAAGTAGTGGCAAGCTCAAACACCAGCAGAGTATCCATAGCCTCATTTCATAACCCAAAACCAGAAGCCATTGTGTATCCATTGAAGGTCAGTGAAGACGAGAAGCCAATGCTTGAGGAGCCCATCACCTATGGTGAGATGTATACAAGAAAGATGAACAAAGAAATACCTCTAATATTGGCCATATTCAATAAAAGTGACCAAGAAACAAAAAAATAACTCTACTTAATATTTTATCATGCCTAGGTGATTAAATAATGCTCGTTCGAATAATTAGTTTGTTAACATGTGCCATGTACGTATTTTAAATTGTATTCTATTTCATAAGAAAGTCAATTTGATTGTAGTCTAAATTGCTTACTTGTGTACGGGTCAAGTTTTAATATAATTATAAATGAAATAAGAGTGTTGTACTCTCGATTGAGTTTCCTAGTTGTTGGGATTTATGCCTAAAGTCTTGTAATTAGTAAATATTTTATTATTTATTAGAAAAATAATTATTTGATCATTTTGATTATAAGCAATACTTATTATCCAACTTTGTGAAAATCCAAGGTTATAAATGTAATATTCAACAACTTTTGTAGTCGACACAATACGCCAACTATTTTTGGGATGTGACAAAAAAGGGAGCTGAGAACATACTGATATGATCATAATTTGCCAAGAACTCCAAGAACAAACCTACATCAACAAGGAGAGGAAACTATAGGAGATGACCCCTAAAAGGAAGAAGATTCATTGGATCCACAACGAAATTTTGAATATTTTAAAGGACCAAAAGCATCCATCAAGGGCCAATAGGACGATGAAGATCGAAGGAAGGTCAAGCAAAAAAGCCTACTAGCCTCAAGGACTTGCCCACCACAAGCCCTTGCCCATCAAAGTGCGCCCCACCACCAGTGGCACACCCAGCGCATGCGCACTAGTGCCCAGCTTCATGTGCGCATCCTATAGTGCCCTCGCCGCACACACCTCCTGTGTCGCACGCCCACCAACCATGTCGC